ATTACACTAATTTTATTAGTACTCAAAGCCGGTCTCTGATCCATACCGTTCAATGCATTAAAAACTTAAGGTGTCAAATGAAACGGCTTGGCCATTAGGTGTGCAATAAGGCTTTATTTTTTTTAGGGTTGCCACTTGCTGCTTACTTATGCACACTTTCAGCGCGTGGCGAAGCCTCGCGCATACGAGGCCAGCTAGTACTTCGATAAATAATGAAAATTGTTAATAAAAATTCGCGTTATTTTATATAATTGAATAATGAAAATTTTTAATAAAAACTCGCGCGATTTAAAAAAAAAATAACAATATTTCGATAAATAATGATCGGCTGCATGTGAAGAGGTGCCGAGGGTCATGTGGCGACTCTCGACATGCCGGGCATTGGTTGGGCCCATCCTCATTAATTCTGCGTTTACGCGGTAACCGAGCAGTGCGGACATGATTTTAATCGTTCCGTAAAAAGAATAATTTATATTCAGCAGTGAAGCACCTTAAGCTAAAGTTGTGAAAAAGAAATCAAAAGGGGAGGCAAAGATTTCATAAAATAAACAAATTTTAACTTAAAATGAAGTTGAACTTGAAATATTAAAACAAAGTAAACAAAACCACGCTTTGATATTTTTCCCATCAAGATCTGTGTGCGATCATCGGGTTTGTATTTGCGAAGTAGCGAAAATGCCGAGAGAGAAAGAAAACACAACAACCACCATATGCGATGACTGCGAAAAATCGCTACCAGTCAGTGGCGAGTATGCTACATGCACTAATTGCAATAGCAACTACCACTTCTCAACTTGCGCCAAAATATCCGACAACACCTTCGCAACTATGAACGCCGAGCGTCGTCGCAATTGGAGATGCCATAAATGTCGTCCACCAACGAGAGCAACACAGACAGCGATCCAAACTGAGTCAGCGACCCAACAACATCCCACGAAAAAAACGCAAAGAGAACTAGTAGAAGAAGAAAATGAAAACACGCAACCATATAAGCAGCAGGAATGTGTAGGCACTCGAGTTCATATAAAACGGCAACTCAAATTTATTTCAAATTAGGAAACGAATTACAAACGCTGAATAATTATAACTGACTAAACAAATGTGAAAAAATGTGACGTTGAATTTGAATTTTTAAAATCAGCACACTAAGCAACTATGTCTCACTCGTGTACTTGTGCACAGTAGCCATAGTAGTCCCCCCGGAGTGACTCGAACTTGTATGAGAAGTCATGATATTGCTACGTTGTAGTGTTTCGTAAATCCCTGAACTGGATGATCTATGCGTTGCTACTGGATGAACCAAATCCGGTAAGGTTTCGACAAATGGCGGCTTAAGACGTTCAGTTGATAGCGTTGTCGAGCGACCTTCGACTTTCACCACAAAAACAGTGTCTGAAATTCGTTTCAAAATCTCAAAAGGTCCTCGATACGGCTGCTGCAATGGTTGTTTCACTTCGTCTACCCGAACGAAAACGTGTGTGCAAGTGCGCAATGACTGATGATGGAAAGCCCTGGTTTTATTATGGTGAGCTGCCGGTTCTGATCGTATTTTGCGCATAAAATCCCGAAAATCATTTATGAACTGGAGTGGTTCTACTGTTTTACCTTGATCCAAAAAATAATCGCCTGGCAGATGCAGCGTTGTTCCATACAGCATCTCTGCCGCACTGGCGTGGATGTCAGCCTTGTAACTTGTGCGAAGTCCCAGCATCACAACAGGTAGCGAATCCACCCAACTCGCTGAAGCATGACACATAAGCGCCGCCTTTAGCGACCTGTGCCAACGTTCGATCATACCATTAGATGCTGGGTGATAAGGAGTTGTCCTTANTGATGATGGAAAGCCCTGGTTTTATTATGGTGAGCTGCCGGTTCTGATCGTATTTTGCGCATAAAATCCCGAAAATCATTTATGAACTGGAGTGGTTCTACTGTTGACGTTAAAACGCTGAATAATTATAACTGACTAAACAAATGTGAAAAAATGTGACGTTGAATTTGAATTTTTAAAATCAGCACACTAAGCAACTATGTCTCACTCGTGTACTTGTGCACAGTAGCCATAGTAGTCCCCCCGGAGTGACTCGAACTTGTATGAGAAGTCATGATATTGCTACGTTGTAGTGTTTCGTAAATCCTTGAACTGGATGATCTATGCGTTGCTACTGGATGAACCAAATCCGGTAAGGTTTCGACAAATGCCGGCTTAAGACGTTCAGTTGATAGCGTTGTCGAGCGACCTTCGACTTTCACCACAAAAACAGTGTCTGAAATTCGTTTCAAAATCTCAAAAGGTCCTCGATACGGCTGCTGCAATGGTTGTTTCACTTCGTCTACCCGAACGAAAACGTGTGTGCAAGTGCGCAATGACTGATGATGGAAAGCCCTGGTTTTATTATGGTGAGCTGCCGGTTCTGATCGTATTTTGCGCATAAAATCCCGAAAATCATTTATGAACTGGAGTGGTTCTACTGTTGACGTTGAAACGCTGAATAATTATAACTGCCTAAACAAATGTGAAAAAATGTGACGTTGAATTTGAATTTTTAAAATCAGCACACTAAGCAACTATGTCTCACTCGTGTACTTGTATACAGTAGCCATAAATTGATCTCTATTAAGTCTCTTAAGTCTGAAGTCTGTAATGTGCAATCTAATGTAAACGATTTAAAAACTAGCACAGATGAAATTAAGAGAATGATCGAAAGCCTGACTTTGCAATTCACGTGTTCTCAAGCAGAGATTAAAAAAGAACTGTGTCTTACAACGACTAAACTTACCAACATCGTAACTGAACTAACAACAAAAGTTAATGACCTCAACGAAAGCTGCAGAGAGAAAGATCGCCGCATCGCTGCAATGGAAAGCAAAGTTAATATGCTGGAGCAACAATCACTAGAGAAGATAGACGGGAATTGAGAGACATAGTGCGACGCATTGCCAAAACAGTGCAGTTTAACGTAAGCGAAAGTGACATTGTTGATAGCTTCCGAACAAAGGCAAAAAGGGGAGACATAATCATTAAGTTCTCTTCAATGTGCACTAAACTAGAACTAATGCAAAAACTTAGAGGCAAAACTGTAGGTACAAACGACATTTATGATAAGGGCAAAGAGAACAACACAAAAAATAAAAGAATTTACGTCAACCACCAACTGACCGCGATAAACCGACACTTATTATGGATGGCAAAAGCTAGAGCAAAGGAATGCGGGTAGAACTATGTATAAGTTAAGCAGGGAAAAATATTAGCAAAACAAAGAGAAAGCAGTAATAACAACATAATAATTAATATATTGCATAATTAACTTTTTGATAGCTATATACCTACATATTTACTTATTTATTATACTTTTTATAAAATACTTAGCGTAACTAACATAAATTATGAATCATTACTCTAAATAAATCAAGCTATAATGAAATTGATGTCAGTAACA